ATGCTCACCCCCAAGGAGCACCGGGCCACCAAGCTGCGGATGAACTGAGGGTTCCCGCTCCAGCCCTGGGCACGTGGCGTCCCCCGTGCTCGCTCCGGCAGCGAGAGCCGTGCTCTCCTGCTCGCTGCAGGACGGGAACCTGGAGGGAACTGCTGGTCGGGCAGAGACCCCTTCCCATACCCATCACTGGCTGCTCCACCTCCCTGGTTGTGAGGCTGGGGGGCTCCTTTTTGTAAATATGTAGAAAATCTGGACATTTTTGTGGCTCTTTTGGGTTTTTTGAGTGTAAGTTTTCCAGGGCATGAGTGGAAATACTGTGTTCATTAAATCCTCAACCCTGAATCTTGACCTCACAGCCTAAATCCTCTTGGGGGGAGGGGGGCTCTGGGAAACACACATTGGACGTGTCTCTCCTTTCTCCCCCTTGCTCTGCTCCATTCCTTCCCTTGGTGCAGCGACTGTGTAGCTGAATGTTGTGATGTTCCTTGTGAAGTGTCGTTTTTGGTATGGGTTTTCTCTTGATTTCCTTCCTTTTTCCCCTTCATTCCCCTGGGTGATGAAGTTATAGCTCTAATGCAACAAGAGGCTGTTTGGAGGAGAGAAGCTTTCCTAGAAGAGCAGATAGCACTTGGAGCCAGGGAAGGGGTTGCACTGGCTCAGTCACTTGGGCACCTTCTCCCTATCCCATCCTCCTTTCCCCAAAGCCTGGATGCTCCGTGATGGCTTGCAATAAGCAATGCCGTGGACACCATCACCACCCGGATCTGGCTAAAGTGCCTGCCACTCCAAGTGGCATCTGCAGTTGCTTCTTTGCTTCCCTGTCCTTGCACCCGTGTAGGAAGAGGAAGTGATGGTGCGGTGTGAGCTTCCCCTTCTCCAGGCCAAGGAGATGCCCATGGGTGAAGGAGCTGTACATAGTTTGGAAGGTGAAGCAGCCCTGGAGTGTAATTTATTCCTGCAAGGAAACCTTTCCTCCTTGCTTTACAAACAGGATCTTTAGAGCTGCATGTTCTCGTCCTCCAAAGGAGCGATGGTCTTGCAGCAGATGCTGACAGGCTCATGAAGGTGGGAGCTCTCATCAGCGTCTTTCCAATGCAAAAGGCTTTAAACCAAAATCCTAGACTAGAGATGAAAAGAAAAGCTTAGAAACCAAGTAAATGACAACTGAATTTTATCCCCTTCCTGAAGCAGCTCAAGGGCGGTCTCAGCTCCTCGAGACCTTCAAGCCCTCATGGAGAAGGGCCTGGTTTTGGGTCACTTTGCTGTTCACACAGAGCTGGTTCCCAAGGCAGCTGAAGCCAGCTGGAAGGCTGCTGGAGCTGCGAATGGGTCTTGGCTCAGTCCCTGTGGCCTTTTGGTCTTGGGTTGCTTCCTTCCTCGCTGGATCTTGGTTGAAGCAACGTGAGAAATCCCATTGAGGTCAAGCTTCCTTTGAAGCTTGGTTGTGCTCTGCCTTGAAAGAGATGGGACCATCAAAGCCGTTCACCGTGGAGGGAATGGGAGCTGAGCCTTCGGGTGCTGGCCAAGCTGGGAGAAGTCACCTTGCAGAGGAGAAGGTGGTCTGGGGGATGCTGATGTGCATCATGTTTGATACCTAAAACAGGTTTGAAAGGGGCAAAACCAAGCCACAATAAAAGCAGCTTTGAGCAGTTCTGGCAGCACTGAACTGCTCTGTCTTAAGCTGTACTCAAGTGGCACTTTGAAACCCCAGAGTCTTGGGGTTAGTGTAAAAACTGGGGGCAAAAGTGGCCAACTTATCCATGTAAAGGAAAAAATACCTCTATAGATAATGAAAATATCTATATAGTGATGCTTTAATAAGCACCTCCTAAGCAGTGCAAATTAGGACTTTGATTCCTTTGCATCTCCCCTGGGTTTATATGAATGTAAGTGGAGTAAGACCCTGGTCCATGCTCTTACTTTCCCCAAATACCTTCCTTTTATATGGTACTCTGGAAAACAGTGTGGTTTCTTCTGTAGAACTGCAGGATTTTGGTGGCTTTGAAGGCTTTTGAGAACAAAGTTGCTTCTCCCTTTCGTGTGGTGCTGTCTGAAACATTCCCGGTGGATTGTCATTGCCAAGTGAGAGATGTTCAATCTCAGCATCTGTTGATAATCACCTGCATGTTCTGTTTTTATCCTTGGAGATGACGTTATTGAGAAGTGCTTCAAAGCTTGGAAGTGTTAAAAGCAATCCAACAAAGAGTTACATTCACTGTTCTCACCCTGTTTTTAATGACAAGACCCAAACTCCATGCGTGATGCACTGGCCGTTGCCATCATCATCCTCGGTATTTGCTTACCTTTTCTTTTTTAACAAAAAAAGGATGATACTTTTGGGATGAAAATAGAGCTAGACCAAAATAAACTCTGCGATGCTCTGTGAAATAAACTGTCAGTATTCCCCTGCCAGCCTCTGGTGATGTTTTGTGTTCTCCAATCACTTGTAACATGGTGGTGCCTTGATCTTCGTCTTGTTTCTGCTTCATGAGATCTTCATAAAGGTCTGACCAGGAGATGTGAGATGCGTCCTGCTTGAGAGTGGTACCGTTGTGTTGCGTCTCCTCCTGATGACATAGAGCTGAGTGGTGCAGTTGCCATGCCTGAGGAATGGGTGCCATCCAGAGGGACCTGGACAAGCTGGAGAAGTGGAGCCGCATGAACCTCATAAGGTTCAACAAGGCCAAGTGCAAGGTCCTGCACCCGGCAAATCCCAGTATCCTTATAGACTGTGGGATGAATGCGCTGAGACCAGCCCTGAGGAGAAGGACTTTGGGGTGTTGGGTGCGGAGAAGCTCCCCATGACCCGGCTTCAGTGTGTGCTTGAGCCCAGAACCCCCCGTGTGCTGGGTGCACCCCCAGAGCGTGAGCAGCAGCTCAGGGAGGGGATCCTGCCCCTCTGCTGTGCTCTGGGGAGACCTCAGAGCAGCTCCAGTGCCTAAAGGGGCTCCCGGAAACCTGGAGAGGGGCTTTGGACCAGCGATGGAGGGACACGCCAAGGGGAATGGCTTTAGCCTGCCAGATGGGAGACTGAGATGAGCTCTGAGGCAGAAGCTCTTCCCTGTGAGGGTGCTGAGGCGCTGGCACAGGGTGCCCAGAGAAGCTGTGGCTGCCCCATCCCTGGCAGTGTTCAAGGGCAGGTTGGACACAGGGGCTTGGAGCAACCTGCTCTAGTGGAAGGTGTCCCTGCCCGGGGCAGGGGTTGGAGCTGGAGGAGCTTTAAGCTCCCTTCCAACCCAAACCAGGCTGGGGTTCCATGGTTCTGTCCCATACAGGTTTTATAAGATAGTAGCTGTAAAGCAGTCACGTGCAGAGGAGAAGACTCTGCAGACCTGAGTTGTGAACGGTAACTGTAGATTAATTTCTCAGTGTCTGTGGCCTCATGAGGACAATAACGCACCCCCAGAACACACCAGGCAGCAGTTTGAAACCAAAAACTAGTTTAAAAATGGGAAGCAATTTATTTCTACCGCACATTATGCGAGTCGTGGCCCCAGGGTGCAGTAAGATCCACAAACCATAAGCAAGTTCATGGAGCAATAAATGGCTTATACATCCGTTAGCACTTATTAAGCACAGGACTCTGGATGCACCATCCTGCTTGGCAATTCCCTGAGCAGTTCTTTGCTAAATGTGGATATTAAGGGAAGTTTTGCTCTATTAGGTTTATTCTTTGCCCAGAATCTGCTCCCAGCTGCACACAGAGGATGCTTTGGGTGTGAAGGGGATCACGTCTGGGTCAGTGTGGGATTGTTCTTTGTTAAGCATCTGTTTTCTCCAGCCCCTCAATGGCTGCATTTGACTGATAGTTATAAAGGATTAAAGTAAATCCAAGCCTATCTCCATGGTTGGTGATGAGTAGTCAATAGTGTGTCATGAATTCGACTGGCTTTGGGGCTATCGCTTGGGTGTTACATATCAAATCGCCCTAGGGGAAGGAGTAGAGCTCCTGATATCTGCAGTATTGAATAATCCCTGACTGGGGGCTGTGGTTGCTGTACCCCAGGGAAAGATACTCAGAAGTTGAAAGGAGAGAAATGAGGGGCATGTAAACTGTGTCTGCTACTCAAATAAAGGAGCTGAGGATTGGTTGCTGGCTCGAAGCCCACATGGCCTGGGACAGCCAACATTGTGCTGTTTAACTCTTTTTCTTCCTCTCTACAAGTGCCCTTATTTACAAGGGCTTAGTGGTACAGCTGGGATGGTGCTCATGGTGTCTGGGAACCTTTCCAGGCCTTTACGTTTGGCAGTAGGGTTGTACTGCTGGGGTCTGGGAGGTGATGCTGGTGTGACCATGCCCCAGGCCCACGCACGTATCTGCCATGAGAAGGATCTCTCCTATCTTATTAATATTAATATATCTTATGAACATCCTGTATGGAGACAGGCTGAGAACATTGGGGCTGTTGAGCCTGGAGAAGAGAAGCTGCTGGAGACCTCAGAGCAGCTTCAGTGTCTGAAGGGGGCTACAAGGATGCTGGGGAGGGACCTTCATCAGGGACTGGAGTGACAGGACAAGGGGTGATGGGTTCGAACTGAAACAGGGGAAGTTCAGGTTGGATCTAAGGCAGAAGCTCTTCCCTGTGAGGGTGCTGAGGCGCTGGCACAGGGTGCCCAGAGGAGCTGTGGCTGCCCCATCCCTGGCAGTGTTCAAGGCCAGGTTGGACACAGGGGCTTGGAGCAACCTGCTCTAGTGGAAGGTGTCCCTGCCCGGGGCAGGGGTTGGAGCTGGATGAACTTTAAGGTCTTGTCCAGACAAACCAGTCTGCTTCTGTTCTAACCACTCTGTTCTAACCATTCTATGTTTCTACCTCTGCTAAAGCCTTAATACAACACAGTAAGTAGGAGCTTTCAAAGTTTAAACCCAGTCTGAAAAGTCTGTCTGTGATATGAGCAGCAGCTGGGTTGTAGCAGAGCCTTTGCACAGTGACAGCCACTTTGGGACTCAGTGGCATCACATGAGGATATCCGAGGCCAAATGCAGTGCAATGTGGCTGTAGAAATCTGCTCTATAAGCAGCTTGGCATGGCCATGGAGACACCTGCACC